AACAGACATATCCTTTGTAGACCACACCAAACCAGACATCGGAACTTTGCCTGAAGCTGCTCAAGTTAGAGCGGGAGACCGAACTGCTCAGGAATGTGAACAGAGCCCTGAGAGAGGAGAACATGTTTCTCAAGGAGTCCCTGGAGAAAACGAGCTCTGGGCAACGAGGTGAGCTGGCTCCAGCTGTGCTTGTGTAGCTCACCGCAAACTCCCACGTTTGGGGTGTCCTCTCTAAGACATGAACTTTTTCATGAGGTTCACATCTTGTATCACAAACATTTTTTTCTTCTGCCCTGTGAGAGTTCTTTGGATGGGAACAAACTCGAGCCATAAATCTGCTGAAAAATGCAGATCTAGAAAGTTCCCAAGTAAGGCAGCCCAGGGATGCCTGGGGAGATCGGTGAACGGTGAGTGCCTTTTCTTTCTATTCCTACTCTAGCACGCAGGCCTTCCAGTACCCAGAAGGTAACTGGGATGACAGCACCACTGCTGTCAGTCGGAGAGACTAACCTGAGTTGTGCTCCGGAGGCCAGCTGCGACCGAGAGTTGGCCCGAGCACTGAAGGTGTTCTACCGAAGCATGAATGTGGCCAGAGGGCAGTTTCTCCGTGAAACAGCGTGAACCTCCTGTAAGGAACAGCCTCCTGGGAGTGACAGGACCCTTTAGACGGTCTGCTGTCACTGTGTGTGTGCTTTCTGAGCTGGGACATGTGCTTATTAAGCAGATGGCAAGTTGAGGGCTTAAAGTTGCTCTGTGACCTCCACGTGCCTTTGCTGTGGCCTTTCTGTTCTGTGCACATCGTTTATTTTACGGTATGCAGCACAGCCCAGGATACAAGTGCGGTTCATCGTTATAGACCCAGTGATTCAGCACGTTAAGATGAATTACAGAAAGATAATCTGATTCCTCTGACAGATGCAGGAAAAGCATGTGAAAAAACTCTCAGCATCCTCTGAAGAGAAACATCTCGGAGAAGTAGGGTGACGATAATCTCAGCAAGCACTCAGCAGGCTAAGCTTCCCCTCCCAGGGAGAAGTCAGGGTGCTGGGCAGCCCTTCTGAATCACAAAGTGTGAGGCTGCGAGGGGACCAGTAGCATCTGCTTATAAGCACTTTGCGCTGACTGACTACTCTCACAACCACCGCCTCTGAGGAAGACGCTGTTACTTACTTTACACCTGTGAGCCTAAGGCACGAGTCAGGCCATGTAATGTGTCACATCTGGACACAGCAGGGCCAGTGCTGCTCCAGTCTGTTGGTCCCATGCGCTGTGTGGCTCCATTATTGTTCCCAAATGGCATGCTCATATAGATAGGAAATGCCAAAGAATTTCTAAAAAATAGTGCTACAGAGTATGAGTCTTAAAATATTTACAGATATTTAAAGACTGGTAAGGGCTGGCAGAGTGGCTTAAGCGGTAGAGCACCTGCCTAGCAAACATGAGGCTCTGAGTTCAAACCCCAGTGCCACCAAAAGTAAAAAAAATAAAGACAGATAAAACGTACTGTTTAAGGATTGTGTTATAGGTGGTAAACTGCTCAGAAGTGCAACAAAATGGTTATTGCACAGGTCTGGCTAGCAGCTGCCTCTGGGGAGGGGAGCGCGTGTGAGGCCGAGGCAGGGCCTTGCTTCAGCAGGTGCTCAGGGGACATTTGTGCATACCTCACAACACAAAAGAAGGAAACACCGGCTGGACGAAAGACACACCAAAGTTAAGAATAAGCACAGCCTGGGACTTTGATCTGCAGGTTGGAATGCCATATCCGAAATGCTTGGGAAAGGAGTTTTCACATTTTGGAATATTTGCACAAATGTACTAGTTGCTGGCCTCTATTTATCTTGGAGTGTTTGTTAGTATTTTTAAAACGGGAAGCAGACATGGAAAGTTCACTGGAGTAGGGTCTGAGCAGGCATTTCCCTAAAACACTGTGCCAGGCCACACTGACTGCTGGTTATCTGTTCCCGTGCTCAGTGGTCCTACCCCTCTCCTCTGCCATTTGTCACTGGCACGCTGGGCCATGGTATCCCCAAATCTCTTCTGCTTCTGGGGTAGAGGGCACATCAAGTTCCTTTACAAACCTCAGCACAGGCACGGTACTGAAGAACCTGGAGCACGCCCTGGTGAAGTATTAGGTCACCTCATCAGTTCTGGGCACTCAGTTGGCACTTTGAAACCAGTCTGCTGCTCTGACTTCCCGACCCAGCTAGCAGCTTTCAAATGCAGTTTTCTGCCTGAGGAGAAAACCCACTACAGCCTATTTACATACGCAAAGTGCTTTTAACTCTAACGATACTGTTTACTGCTTTCCTTTCTTCTTTCATGTATTTTTTAGGACGACGACCAAATGCTTCGACCCCTTGTACACCTACAGTCTCGGATGCTGAAGGATTTCGGGGACCTGCTTGAATCCAGCTTGTGGAAACTGAAAAATGACGTTGCTCTTATAGTGAGAAAGAAGAGAGAGTATTTAGTGCATGTCAAACAGTGAGGGCACACCCACAGGACTCTGCAAACATTTGACTGAGTTGTGAGGATTGCCTGTGGAGTTCCCACTTAACCCATCTCTCCTATTATTTTTAAGTAAAACTCTTAGATTAGATTTTTTTGCGACAGGGTCTTCTCACTATGTAGCCTCAAGATCTTCAAGGTCCCACCTTGCAAGTCCTGGGATTGCAGGCATGCGCCACCTCCATGCCCAGCCTTGCTTTGCTTTTTGGTTTGCAGTACTGGGGTTGAACTCTGCCTACACTTGAGCCACTCTACCAGCCCCACCCCCTTTTTTATGATTTCTTTTTTGAGATGGGGTCTTGTGAACTCTTTGCCCGGGCTGGCTTCAAACGACAATCCTCCTGATCTCTGCCTCCTGAGTAGCTGGGATTACTGCCGAGCCACCGGCTCAAGTGCTAAGGGTGCTTGCCTAGCAAGCATGAGGCCCTGAGTTCAAATCCCAGTGTCACACATACAAAAAAAACTGGGTTCAGTCCTGGTTAAATCAGGACCACTTACCAGCTGTGCAACTTGGGGCAAGCAGCTCCCTCCAAGCCTCTCCTCGTTGGTTATGGGGATGAGGACGGTATTGTAGCAGGTGGTTAATGAGCGCGAAGTGACTGAAAGCCAGCCTGCTGCACACAAGCCATCAGCAAACATACACCATTAACATTTTGAGGAAGCCATTCAAAACTTCAAATAGAGCTCTCTGACCTACAGACAGATGTTATTTCATGTTTCTCAGCTTGTATTCTTGAGCAAATTTGAATTCCACCTCCACGTTTCTTCATAGGCTTACTTGAAATACATTTGATCACGGAGGCGCTGGTGCCAGCATGGTGGGACCAGTTCAGTGCATGGTCTGGGGTACAGAGATCCCGACTGCCAACCCTGCAGCTGACCTTGAGTGCTCAGACTGGTTGATGACGTCAACCACGTCATGTACCCTGGGAAGAGACCGTCTAGCAACACTAACGGTTACGGTGCTTGTCACGTGCCAGCACTGATCTAGGTGCTAAAGGTCTGTTAGTGTATTTAATTCTCACAGCAAGGCTGGGTTCAGGGAGACAGCACTACCACCGAGAATGCTGCCACCTGTTGGTGGTGGGAATATAAACTAGCCATTCTGGAAAACTGTGGACGTGCCTCAAGAAACTAAAAACAATTGAATCCAGCAAACCCCACCAGTGGGTATGTGCCAGGGGAACTGCAATCTGTGTTGCAGAGCTGGCTGCCCTCCTGGGCTCACTGCAGCATTATTCACAAGAGCCAAACACGAAACAACCCAAGTGTCCATCAATGGATGAGATTTTTTTAAATGTGGCATATAGGCACAATGAAATACTATTTAGCCTTTAAAAAGGAAGGAAATCCTGTCATTTGTGGCGACATGGGTGAGCCTAGAAGACATTACATTAAGTGAACTAGCCAGGCACAGAGAGAAGTATTCTATGATCTCATACGTAGAGTCTAAGGGAAAAGGAACTGACAGAAGTAGAGAGTAGAATGGTGGACACCAGAGGCTGTGGGGAGAGGAGTGGATAAAAAGGTAGCCATGGGTTCGTGGGTGCAAAATTACAGTTAGGAGGAGTAAGTCTGGGAGTTTGATCTCACGGCAAACTAGTGACATATTTTCAAAATGGCTAAAAAAGAGGATTTTAAATGTTCTCACCCCAATAAATGGTGGGTATGTGGTGTCACTGTGATTCAGTCATCCCACAGTGTATAGAGCCAGCACCAGTGACACACCTGTAATCCTAGCTACTCAAGAGGTAGACATCAGGAGGATCCTGGTTCAAAGCTAGTGAGGGCAAACAGTTCCTGAGATTCTACCTCGGAAAAAAAAAACTCACAAGAAAGGGCTGGCGGAGTGGCTCAAGTGGTAGAGTGCCTGCCTAGCAATTGTGTGGCCCTGTGTTCAAACACCAGTACTGAAAAAAAAATCACTTTGAACCCCATAATATAAAAAGTTCTGAAATAAATTGTAAAGATAACCTCCCTCTTCACATAGGACACCCTCCCTCCCTTCTCCTGAACAGATAGCAGAAGGGGTCCCCTCACCTGCATGTGTTTTGCTTCTCAGCAGGGCAGAAACTCCAGAGGGCACGAATGCCATGTGAGTTTATCATGCAATTACTACAAGAAGAGCTCTTTGGGTCTTCAGTGCAACCTGGTTAAAATACAAAAAGTAAATCTGAGAAAATTCTGCTTAGGCAGTGAAGAAAACATTTTTTTTTCTTTTTTTTTTTAGGACTGGGATTTGAACTCAGGGCTTTACACTTGCAAAGCAGGTTCTCTACCACTTGAGCCACATCTCCAGTCTCTGCTTAGGCAGTGAAGATCAACATAAACTTCCAAGCTGTTTTCTTAAAACTCGTACAATTGAAGAACCAGACAAAGTAAGAATGTCAAGCCCAATTATTGGCAGTAAACGGGTCAGTCCCTTTTTTAAGCAGCTTATATCTATCACTGCACAAATAGGTCCAGACAAATGTTCAGTTGACAACTCTTTTATTATTCAACTTAGGCAAACAGTCCAAAATCAGTCAGTGTAGACAGATGAGAAACAGGGCTAAAATAGAGAAAAATGCAGCTCATTTAGCAGAAGCTCACGCCTCTGTAGAGAAACTCCCTGGAGGGAGAGCCCAGCACCCACGCACCTCACAGAGAAACGCAAACGCTGCTAGCTGCAGACAGCCACCCCGCCCTCTGACCTGCCACTCGGCACCAGAATTGACCAGGAACACGTCAATGAAAAAGGTAAGCATTAGTTTTCTCTCACAAGCAATAAAATGTGAAGTTTAAGTAAGCTAGTACAATTTCCTGCTTTTAATGTGTATTTTACAATTGAAGAATTTCTCGTATCAAATACAGGCGCTGTTAATTCATGCATTTAATGACTTCAGTTAGTTTCAAATGTTCAGACTTCAGAGCTGCTAATGACACTAAACTCAATACCACGTTGGTTGAGTCTGTCAATCAACTTTGTTCTGGAGAAAGCGGCTCCAGGTGTGAAGACTCCGCCCCTGTAAAAACAGTAACAAAGAGAACCAGCAAGTCACTGCCCAACTCCTAAAACCCGAGTCCTCCCTCCATTACGGCCACTTCTGGCTCCCAACCAGCCAAATGAGCGGCCAGCTAGCTATTTATTCCCAAGAACCCTGTGCCACAGCGTCCTCATGAGTGACTGCTGCAGCAGGACCAAGCAGAGATTGACGGGATCAGGCTCAGTCTATTACCATAAACAGCACCTCCTCTGCATGGAAGGGAAGTCTCTTTAAATATGATGGATAACATTTGTAAAACGCCAGCGGGTACTTGAAAATTTCAATTAGGTTTTACTACATACAGGCTTTTTTTGTTTTGGGTTTTTTTTTTTTTTTTTTTTGCAGTGCTGGGGCCTGAAGTCAGGGCCTTCACCTTGAGCCACTCCACCAGCCCTATTTTTCTGAAGGGTTTTTTGAGCGAGGGTCTTGTGAACTTTTTGCCCGGGCTGGCTTTGAACCACGATCCTCCTGATCTCTGCCTTCTGAGTAGCTAGGGTTACAGGCGTGAGCCACTGGCGCCCAGCTACGGATTTTATTTTTATTACTTAGTGTTTCGTTGCTTAATTTTGGGTTATGCCTGATTTACTTCTCAGCTGCAGGCCCATGCTCCTTTGTAGAGTTGCCTAGTTTTAGGGTAGCAGCTAAAGACAGTTAAGAGTGTTCTCAGTGACCACCTAGCCAGGATCCATAACCCTGTTCCTGCGTGTTCAGCCAACACTCCCTGCCCACGCTGCTCAGCACTGCCCAGTGAACCACGGGGACCTCTCCTCAGTGGCTGACTGTTTATAGGGACCTGACGCCGCCACACTTAATGGTTCTCAGCCCTTCTATGTCTCGCACCCACCTCTGCAGTTATCCCAGAGGCTGATAAGGACATGTCCTCACTACTTTCACGTGTCTGGATCAGAGGAATTCTAAATGCTTATGTGCAGACCCAAAGCCTACAAACCGACTCAAATAAACGGAGCTGTAACACAGAGGAAGAAGGTATCTTCTACTTAGGAAAACACACACTTACCCCTTAGGAAGATCAGGCCCATCATTTAGAAGAGTCATGGCGGCCTGAACCATGGCTATGGGGGTAGCCACGTAGCCAGCCTCTGCAGAAAACAATGATCAAGGAGAAAGAATGTGTTCATGAAGTAAACAACATCCAAAATCAAACGGTAGATTTATATCTAACTTCACGTACACACTATTTAGTTTTAGTTTGGTAGTAGTGGGGTTTGAATTCAGGGCTTCCACTTGAGCTATTGCTCCTAATCCTCTCTGCTTCAGGTTTGTCTGTTTTTTTTTTTTTTTGTGGTACTGGGGTTTTGAACTCAGAACTTTGAGCTTGCAAGATGGGCGCTCTAGTGCTCCAGCCATGCCTCCAGCCCTGCTTTAGTTATTTTTCAGGTAGAGTCTTGTGCTTTTTGCTTGGGCTGGCCTCAGGCTGTAATTGTCCTACTCCCGAATAGATGGGATTACAGGTGTGTACTACCATACCCAGTTCCACAATTTTTTCAATAGATACTCTTCAGTAACAAAAGTAAAAATTAACATTTACATAGTATATCCCAAAATGCTTGGGATTTGTCTTAAATTTTGAATTTTTTTAGATTTTGCATATGCATAATGAGATCATTGTGGGGAGGGCACCCATGTCCAACCACAAAGTTCATACATGTTTCAAATATATCTCATATTGGGTGTTGACGGTGATCTGGCTGTGACATCTGTCACCACATTGATCGCCAGGGTTGATCCGGCTGATCTGGATGGCTAGGTGGGTGTCCCCATCCTCCCTCACCGCCTCATGTGTGCCCCCGTGAAAGACAACCATCCCTGACAGAGGAGGACCGTTCTTCGGTCAAGGGTATACGAGTAGCTGCGCTCCCCTGCTGGAACCTCCAAACAAGTTCCCAATTGTACCTTACATATATAGCCTGGAGGTAATCTTAAAGAACGATTTTAGTGTACCACCACATAAGGTAGGTGTACGATTTCCGCTTGTGGTGGTCATGGTGGTACTCAAAAAGTTTTGAATTTCGGAGCATTTCAAATTTCAGACCTTCAGATTAGGGACATTCTACATTTATTAAACACACCAAGTGGCAGTAACAGAATATAGTAAGTGCTTAAAGTCTACTAAACTCGTTCAATTTTCACATCAGTTATGTGCAGCTAGTCTATTTTTTTCTCTCCATTTTGCAGGTGAGGACCCTGAGGTACAAAACTCACTCAAGTAAGGTAGTGGCTGAGTCAGAATCACGAAAGCTATAGCTGTAGCTCTAGGCCCTGCACTGCTTCTCAGCAGTGAATCCAAGGACTCTCAGCTTCTCCCTGTTAACACGCCACACTGACCCCTGTCTGCACGCACACACTTCACTTTCACAAAACAATGGACTAAACCAAGTAACAGGAAAAGAGTCTACAAGCAAGAGGGACGTCAGTGCTTACGTCACTGCCAAGTCATAAAGCCATGGTCAACTTGTCTGAAAAAGCTGAGCGGGAGTCTGCAAAGGAGGCAAGACGCAAGCGCCTCATCGCCATCTGGCTCAGTAATACCCCCACCATCAGGACAACAGTGTCTACACTTACACTGCAATCCACGAATGCTCCAACTCTGTATAGTTCTCTAAAGTTTTCAGCAAAAGTTCTTCAGTCATTTTAGCAATAGATCCTTTTTCCAACCTATGAAGATCTACTAACTGTTCTTCGAAAAATGCACACGTGCACACAGTTCACAGACATCATCAGGGTATGCAGAAACTCCAAAGAAACCCTGGACTCCAGACTTGACTCATAATTACACCGCTTCAATACGAAACCAAAACACACAAAACAACTGGCCCCTTGTCTTCTTAACAATAATTAAATTTTAGTGATTCTTAAATTTGAACTATAGCACAGTAATGAAAAGAAAACGAAAGGGAAGGACGCATAAATAAAGCTGGTCTATACTAATAAATCTCGCCCTTCTGTTGAAATTTGAGTAATTTCAAATTACTTAAATAACTCATGCAAGTGTATTTCTAAAGCAATTACACTTTAAAAAGAATGTATTATAGCTGGAGGCATGGCTCAAATGATAAAGTACTCGCCTAGGTAAGCACAAGCCCTGAGTTCAAACCCAGGACTACCAAAAAAAAAAAAGACGTCTGTATGTGTATATACACACACATACATGTACATATAACACGTAAGTTAAGGCAATGTGAAACACTCAAGCATGCTTAAGTCACATGAAGGTACCTGGGCCTTTCACCTGAGTACAAATTCTGACATTTGGTTTGTTCTTCTCAGTACTAAGGCCTTGGCTGTACCCCTGACCAAAGAAGGTAACCGTGAACGAGGAGCCATCTATCTGCGAAGGAGAGAGCAAAGAGTTCATTTGCTAAGTATGTCCTTTACTCCTGGAACACAACAAAACTACCGTTCTACTTCAAGACAAATTTTCAATAGGTAAAAATGTTGGTATTTCATCTGCCACAATATCTTGTCATCCTTTAAGCAGGGTGCAAAGTAAATTCACCAAAGCTATAAGTCTTGGGTGACTGGTGTGTTGTGGGAGAGGGGAGGGGATAAGAAACAGGGATGAAAGAGAGATGATTCTTAGGTTGTGATGAGAAGAATGACAGCACAGGGCTGGCAGAGTGGCTCAAGTCTTACAGCAACCTACCTAGCAAGCGTGAGGCCCTGAGTTCAAACCCCAGTACTGCCAAAAAAAAAAAAAGATTGACAGCACCATTAATAACGGCAGTTTAAAAAAAGCTGGCAGTAGTTTTTGGGGGTTGGTAGAACACAGATATCTGGCTTTAGTATCTGTTTGAAATGACAAGGCAAAACAGCACACAATGGAGCCACGGTCCTGGGGCACAGATATGGAGCTGCACCACTTGAGAAATATAAAGACTCCTTCAAACAATGAAATTCTCGAGGACTTATCCTAGCATCTTTTACAGTCACTAAAGTTAGGAGTAAGATGACAATCTTAGTTGATACTTAATAAAATTTGTTTGTTCATGATGAATTCTTTGTCGCCTTAGGTCCTGAGATGTGAATAAAATATGGGCTCTTGCCTTTCCCAGAGCTTACAATTTACTGAGGGAGAAAGATATAAACAGACTAACAACAGGAGACTAGAACTAGCAGATCCGGGAAAAGCTCAGAGAAGGGCACTGTGAGATCTCCTGAAGCACGGGCATATTTTTAATGGATGTCTATGCTACAGTTCCAGAAAAGAGAAACCATTACTTACTGGCAAGAAAGGATGAATAGCATGGTGAATCTACAATTTACAATTTGAGAGGTGAGGATGAGGTCAGACACAGGCCACACCATCCCCTCCCTTGCTGTGGCACACAGTGTGACTGACTGTAACCCTTATGCAGGCCAACCACACATTCATTCAGCTTCAGAACTATTTTCAACAGTCTCAGTGCTTATGTCCCAATTAGTCAGAGGTGGATGAAAAATGAGATCTGTCTGCCACCCAGAACTCATGAAGGCTGAGGTGGCCACACCTCTGGGGAAGGACTGCCTGTCAACCAAGTTCTGCCATGTGTACCAGTCACCCACAGGACCAGAACCTCCTGCTTCTACCTAGTGACCACAGGACCAGAAACTCTACCCAGTGAAGGACTACAGTCCAGACCAGCCCAGGCAAAAATGCAAGACCCTATCTCAAAAGTAACATTAAGCAGATGTGGACAAACACATCTGTACTGCTGAGCTACGGGGAAGAAGGCAAAATGGTACAACTATGAGGAAAAACAGTTTAGTGGTTCCTCAAAAATAAAAAATAGAATTAATGTATGATCAAGCACTTCCACTTCTGTATATACCTACAGAATATAATTCTGGATATACCTACAGAATTTATAGCAGAATGATTCACAATATTCCAAACCTGGAAGCAGCCTAGTGTCTCCACATATGAACAGATAAATAAAACATGATACACATACAATAGAGGAACTTTTGACACTCGCTACAGCATGGGTGAACCCTGAGGACACTAAGAGAATTAAGCCAGACACAAAAGGCTAACTACTGTGCGACTGCATTTATACGAGATAGCTAGAGTCATCAAATTCATAGCAAGAGCAAGTAGAATCGTGGCTGCAGGGGACAGTTACTATTTAATGAGTGATGGTGTCTCATTTTTTCAAGATGAAAAGAGCTCTGGAGATGGAAGGTGATGATATCTACACAAAAATCTGAATGTACTTAATCCACTCAACACTTGAAAAGGTTAAGATGGGGTAAACTGCATGTTTTGTGCATTTTACAAATTAGAAAAAAAAGAGATAAGGAACTGAACCAAGGCCGCTGTGATAAAGTGAGAGAAAATTCTAGAATGATGCCTATGTTTCTGACTGGGCAGATAGCGGTGTCACCAACTAAGATGGACAGTCTAAAAGGAAGAAGAGAATTTGGGGGAAGAGAGTTCAGACTCTGGCATGCTGAATTTGAAGTATGTCTAGTAAAATTGGTGGGCACATCAACCTGGAGAAACATGGCCATGAAGAGCCGTTGGGATCACCCAGGGACAGTGAGTGAGAAGTGGGCTGAGGATGGAGTCCTGGGGTGGCTGACATCTGAGGAAGAGGAAGGAGATGAGAATACAGCATGGCAAAGGAGAAGGAAGAGAAAGGAAACTAAAGACAATCAAAGGAAGCAAGTGTTTCAAGTATTTCAAAGAAGGACAAAAAAGTCAGAAACAGACTGAGGACTGAAAGTATTCGACATCTTTAGCACTTACAAAGTCAACAATCACTTCAGCAAAGGGATAAAGAAGGGTGAAGGAAAGGTCCAGTGCTCTTTCTGAGGTTGGAAAACCTCATTGTGAAAACTGCCATGTTTTCAGAATGAGGAAAAAGAACCTAGAGAGGCAGAAGGTAGAATCAAGAGGAGAGAAAAGGAACGACTGACTGATGGGGGCAGCAGGGCACCTGATCAAAAGCCAGGGTCATGGTAAGACTAGGGTGTTTGAAATTTAGGATCCTCCAGTTCTAGCTATGGGAACTTTCCCAAGTAACACCATGTTTATTTCCTCACTGTAAAACTAGGTTGAAAACACCTTACGTGGAGGACTGAGATGTAAAGTGAGCAGCCTCGTGGCTGCAATACAGGAATGTTTAGGTTGTTAAGAATGCAGGTGGTTGGGGGCATCGGTCTTGTGCAGGGTACTTCTTCCACAAAGAGTAAAGAAGGTAATGGTGGGAACAGTGAGGACAGGTCTGAGGAAGGAGCTTGAGGAGAACGCGCAGATGTTCTCAACCCTTCGGTGAAGGAGCAGTGGGTGGAGGTATGTAATCAAAAGTAAAGCACTTAGCAAGTGGAGGACTCCCCAGACCGTGTAGAGGCACAGTGTGGTGGCACCCTCTGTTCAGCAGGGAACCTCCCCACAAGAGCCTGGCGTAAAGGAGGTGAGGCTAAATGGCCCAAGGCCTGACTCTGGGTTGGGATTTGAAAGGGAAATGGGAGAAAATGAGGTAGTCCTACTGCTGAGAATACTAAAAACATGGTAATTTCTTTCACCTGCACGGGATTCAGGGGATATGGAAAAGGAAGTAAAAGTGAGGGGCAGAAATAACTGAGAAATGGAGGAATAAAAATAGGTGCGGTCCCTACAAAATGAAGAGAAAACAACTTCTGGCGTCAGATGGCTGGCTTCTCATCCTAGCCTGACCACTGTCTGGCTGCGGGGCTGTGAGCAATGCTCTTAGCCTTTCTAAGCCTTTGGGACATGGGCATAACGATGCATGCTCCCAGGGGAGTATGAGAAGGTCAAGAGCTCAGGCAATACAATTTATTTAAAGAGCATCTGGAACTCAGGACATGCCCAAGTCTTAGATGTTACTGTCACTGCAGGGAGAAGCGAAGATAGAAAAACAGTATCTTAAATATATGGAAACAAAAGAAAGGATTACCTGTTTTTGTGTTGGGCCTTGCTTTGAAAAATAACCAAAGGAGAAGAGCCATGGGAACTAAAGGGGGAAAAAAAAAAGCCCTCAGTGATATTTTTTAAATGGATGAAATACTTTTAAAGATCTAACTTCGTAGACTGTTACTTACTTTTATGAGAAGTTGCCTTCCAATGCCAAATCTCACAAAGAATAAAAAGAAAAGTCCTGCAAACATCAGCTTAATAGCAGAGGTGATGCTCCCCACAGTTACACAGGCAGCGTACTGGACCTAGAGAGACAAAGTTAGACGTGAGCCCCACAGCCGTGAAGGTGCAGCTGCTCCCCACTGACTCTCCAGTCACAGACAACAAAGCAGCACCACTTTACGAATATACCACATTCATATGGTTTTAGAGACGTTCTTACGAATGGTAATTAGCCTCCTCTACTTCAGCAAAAACAAGCCACAATATATCAGACTTTAGCAGCAATACATCAAGGAATGCACACTCTGGTAAACTCCCCCCCCTAAGAAAAATAACCATCACTTTTTTGGGGGGAGGGGAGGGACAGAACTGGAGTTTGAACTCAGGGCTTCACGCCAGTAGGCAGGCACTCTGCCAATCCCTAACCACTTCTTAACCTGAGTGGACATACAGTTTCCTCTTGAAGTCTCAGCAACAGATCGACCACTTCCCTCACCAGAAGAGTACACTGGTTTGCCAGAGGTAGCAAGGAGACACTGAGGGGTTAGGGGTCCTAGACGTCTCTACAAGCCATCACAGAAAGAGGCTCCAGCAACTGAAGCACTAAGCAGAGATCACTGGGTTTTTATGACACCAGGATTTCCTGTGTTGAATTTGCTGCCACTGAGTTGCACTGGCAGGTATTTAGCAGACCACATTTGAATTGGGAGGCCAGGCTCTGACCACTCCCATGGAGCCCAATTCTGTGTATTTCTGGAAGCTGAAGCGTGCATTATTTAGTTCTTTCTTGTTTTGTTAAATTCACAGGGAAACTGTAACAAACACAGAATTCTCTGTATCAATAAATAAGCATATTTACTTACTGGTGATTCCTCTAAATTTTCATGCAAGTAACGCTGAGTGCGCCTCACAACAGACATATCAGATCCCAAGAAAGGAAGGGAATATGCACAGAGTTCTTTACAATAGGAAACTGGCCACCTGTAAGACAGACCCATCAATTTTCTTTTTCCTCCAATTACAGTAGACCACAACTTCAAATGCTAGTTTTTTCTTTGTCTTTTTGATGGTACTGGAGTTTGAACTCGGGGCCTCACACTTGCTAGGCAGGCATTCTTACCACTTCAGCTACTCTGCCAGCCCTTTTTATGATGCATTTTCTATTTGCCTGGGCTGGCTTTGAACCTTGATCCTCCTGATTGCTGCCTCCTGAGTAGCTAGGATTATAGGCATAGACCTCTAGCACCCAGCTTTTGTTTAAATTTTTTTTTGAGACAAGATCTTGTTACACAGCCCAAGTTGGCCTCCTACTTGCCATCCTCCTGTCTGCTGACTTACAGGCATGTACCACCACTCCCAGCTCAGCTGGTAAATTTGAGAATTAAAAAATAATTGGGAACTTGGGCTGGAAGAGTGGCTCAAGAGGTAAAGTCCTGACTACCAGGTGTGAGGCCCTGAGTTCAACCTCAGTACTGAAAAAAACTCAAAAAATCAGCAACTTTTCTTGGGGCAATAATAGCAATAACGATGCCAGCTGTGCTTTTAAGTAAAACCTGATTCTGGTGGCTTTCCTCTGTTCTTCCAAACATCTACACCCAGACAAGTAACAAGTGGAACAGCCTCACACTCTTCACACCGTGGATGCTCACTCTTTTTCCCATCAGTGTCACTGGAGACTGATTTAAAAATACTGAACAACCCAGCTGCTCTCCTGTCAGCTAGCGTGCTCACATAAGAACTACCAATGAGCCGGGTGCTTGTGGTCCTCACCACTTAGGAGGCAGAGGATCAGTTTGAGGCCAGCCCAACCAAACAGTTTGTGAGACCCTATCTCAAAAATACCCAACACACACACAGACAAAATAGGGCTAGTGGAAGTGGCTCAAGTGGTACAGCCCCTACCTAGGAAGTATGAGGGCCTCACTACAAGCCCCAATACTGCCAAAAAAAAAAAAAAAGCGCTAGTAATGAAGCCAGGTGCAGTGGCTCCCACCTGCAACCCTAGCTACTCTGGAGGTAGAGACTGGGAAGATCACAGCTCGAGGCCAACCCCAGCAAAAAGTTTGAGAGACCCCATCTCAACCAACGACTGGGATGGCAGGGCATGCCTGTCACCCCAGCTATGTGGGAAAGCACAAACAGGAGGATGACTGTCCAGACCACACACAAAACAAGACTCTATCTCAAAAATAACCAAAGCAGAAAGGGTCGGCAGAGTAGTTCAACAGGCAGAGCACCTGCTTCACCTGAGTTCAAACCCCACACCAAAAAACCCCAAACCCTACTAAGATAACTCACACTTTCATCGCACTTTAAGATGGTGGTTTCACTGCATAAAACCCAAATGACATTTAGTTTTTACATAGTGAGGTGTCATCACAGAAATGTACTTTCAAAAGTACTATGTATAAAGTGTTACACTTAGGAGAATGTGTAAATTACACTTCAGCTTTGAGAGCAATCCTGGACTTACAAACCTCCAAGTTCTTAGTAGCACACTTTATTCATAGCCAACCCAACAATACACTGACTAGATATACTACATAGATTTTGGTTTAATATACCTTTTTTTCAACTTTTGACCGACGACGGGGACAGGTTTTAGATTTGATGCACTTCGCAGTCTTCTCAAACTACTCTTAGCTCCAAAACCATAAATTGCTGACTTCCAGGTGCCATCATGAATACACAGTCCCTAGGAAAAACCGTTTTGAGAGTTAAGAGACATGTCCCAAGGGTAACACCCCAAAGAGAAAGCCAAGTGACTCACTGTTACAAACAACACTTGTAATCCTCTGAGTTTTCACAGCCAGCTATGCAGCACAAATGCTTGCTCATTTGCTTGATCCTATCTACACAAGCCCCTTCTTTCCTTCCACTTATTCATGCTCTTCGTCATAATAAGTAATTTAGTTTCATTTTATAATTTTTACCCAACTAACTGACCCTATGCCTTTGAAAATAGCCACTTTAGCAGGTGCCAATGACTCACACCTGTAATCCTAGCTACTTAGGAGGCTGAGATCAGGAGGATCATGGTCCAAGGCCAGCCTAGGCAAATAGTTCTTGAGACTACATCTGTAAAATAACAAGAGCAAAATGGACTAGAGGTGTGGCTTGAGCAGTAGAGCACCTGCTTGCAAATTGAAGCCCTGAGTTCAAAACTGAGTCCTACCCAAAAAAAAAAAAAAGCTACTCTAATTCTATTCTATGCAGGTTCCTCAAAATGTCAAGATACACTTATGTGCACATCTGTGCATGCATACCTATGCAACAGCCCACCATCCACTCATCCATCTGGGGACAGACCCATATGGGGATGGGTTCCCTGTCCTCCTCCAGGACCTCTGATTCCAGCCCCAGCTGTTGTATTAGTCTACCCACTTCAGTTTTCTGAAGAAGAATTTAACTCACTAATGTGATTTTCATCTTCTCTTCTTTGCTCAATACCATGATTTCTTACTGATACTGCAGCCAGACTCACACTCATGCAGAATTTCACTCTTTCATAGTCTTCCACCCTTTCAGTTCATGTACACCTTTCCCAGCCCTGTCTCCAGCGCCTCCAGCTCCAATGAGAAACTCGAGGAGAGGACAGGCCTCCTGAGCACACTGGCACACTGCTGGCCCTCTTCACCCACTTTCTAGGTGTCTCTGAATTTTAGATTACATAAATATTTTAACTACTTCTTATTTTGATTTTATATATCTATTATGTCATTCTATGTTGTTTACCTTGTTTAAATAAAGTCATCTACAAAGATTTAACACTAATTTTGTAGCTGAGCATGGTGGTGCACACCTGTGAACCCACACAGGTTTACAGACTGAGGCAGGATTGCCACCCTGGGCTACACAGCAAGACTGGGCTATACAGTCAGATTGTGTCTCAAAAAAAAAAAAAAAAAGAAGAAAAGAAGCCAGGTGTGGTGGTCACACTTATAATCTTTGAGGGCAGAGGGAGGAAGAATTGCAAATTTGAGGGCAGCCTGGGCCAAAGTTACTGAGACCCTATTTCATAAACAGCTGGGGCATAGCTCAAGTGGTACAGTGCTTGCCTAGCAAGCATGAGGCTCTGAGTTCCAAAAAAAAAAAAAGGAACCAAGAAACAATAAAACCATGACAAGATCCAGGTTTTTGTAATTGTTGAAAGTTGTTCTTGCGCTGTGGCCCAGGCAGGTCTTACACTCCTGGTTCAAGCAATCCTCCTGCCTCAGCCTCTGGAGTAACTGGGAGTACAGGTGTGTGCCACAGCACCCATTTATAATTTCTTTCCTATTTTACTTCTATTTTTTTGTGGTACTGAGTGGGGATCAAACCCTTGCCTTGCTCATGCTAGGCAAGGGCTCTAGCACTGAGCTGCCGTGCCCAGCTCAAAATTTCTTTTTTTCTTTTTTTGGAGGTGCTGGAGAATGAACCTATGGCATCACGTTGCACACGAGGCAGGTGCTCTACTCGGAGCCACGCTCTCAGCCTGCAGGCGTTCTCTTAGCTGTGACACCAATAAGCACAGACACCAAACCCAATTTCCAACGTGGTACAGACTGATTCCTTTTATTAGAAGTGTTAACAGAAATGTATGTCTTAAAAGGCTTAATTTGCTAACCTACTCAACCTAAGTCTGGACAAGGTGAACTACTTACAAATGTGAAGATTTCCAAACACCAGGAGACAACAGCTTTTAAAAAATACTTTTTTTCAGGACTAAGGGAGTACCTGACGTGGCAGAGCACCTGCCTATCAAGCATGAGTTAGGCAGGTACTCTACCAGTTGAGCCACTCCACCAGTGCTGTTTTGTGTTGGGTTTTTTCAATAGGGTCTTGAGAACTATTTGCCCAGGCTTGCTTTGAACCTCAGTCCTCCTGACCTCTGCCTCCTGAGTAGCTGGGATTATAGCTGTGAGTCACTGGTGCCAGCTCTTAATGGTGTCTCTTAATAAACCAACATTCTTAAGTTTGTAAGCAAATTTATCACTTTTTCTTTTACGCCTCTGTGTTTTTTAAGAAGCCATTCCTGCCTGGGAGCACTTCAGACTCCGAATCCTCAGATTAGGCATGCCCAATCTGTACTTCCTCTTCCTTCACATTCAGTCCTATCCCACCTTCTCCAGAAAGCTCTTCATCTTTGGCCTCCCAACCCGAGGGGCTTTATGTTCTCAGAAACCTACCGTATTGCATCAGGTCTCTCCACTCACACCATCTCCTGCCAAACTAAGCTATTACCTCTTTAGGGGCACGGCCTCCATCTTCAGCTACGTGTCACTTTATCTTACCCTTCTACACACTTGCACGACAGACAATACTTACCGAATGAATACATTTTAAAGAGAACAGACACTTCTGAAGCCTAACTTAGAGCTGGGTTAGGAACTACTGGCAATAAAAGAGCTATGATAAATTATGGTCCTTTCCCAGAAATGCAACTGTCTAAGTTCCTCAACAGGCTGCAAGCTCAGTAAGACTAGTTTTACATCTTTTATGGTCACAGCAGTACCTAACTCCAAGTTAGGCACCCAACAGAAATGCACGGGGGCTGGCAGAGGGGCTCAAGAGGTACAGCACCTGCCTAGCAAGCACAAGGTCCTGAGTTCAAACCCCAGTTACCCCCTCCCCACCCAAAAGAAAAAGAAATGCAGGGACTTGCACTAAAGTGATAGTTTTCCTGACCAACAACATTTATTACACAGTAATATGGATGTTTTAATGTTGGGATCATGGTAATTCATTCTAATATAATCAACTGGACAGTTGTTTTAAAAGTAAATTATATCTGAAGTCAAAATAATTATCTTTACTTTTTTAAATTAAAGTGACTCTCCACACTAAAAACTACAAATACATATAAAATTTAGTTATCTCAATCTTTTTTAAGAGACATGTATCACTTCCAAAATGGTTTTAGTATTAACTTGAAATGCACTTAACAAACAGAAAAACTAACCTCAGGTCCTGAATTTATAGTCAGGAAACTTTCCACAGCAGTCAAAGTACCTAAAAGGAGAATAGTAGAAGTAACATCAAATAAAATCTAAATTATTCAGCCAGAACAAGTAATAAACTATTCCTACTCACTTAGGGACCTACAGCTGACAGCCAGGAAATCTGTACAAGTAACAGTTTTATGTTATTGTTCAGAGACTTCAGAAGCAGTTAAGGCCAAGTAAACTGTCACAAGGAGTTCAGCACAAACCTTTTCTCGTATTTACCCTGATGATATCAGCAATCTTCCAGTACAATTTAACGCACTCACCCTGGAAGGCCCATCACAGTTCTCAGAATTAGATCTACAGGTATTATTCTGGTTTCAAACAGAAATAGCTTTCAAGGGCTCATTAATGATGGCTTATACTGACTGTCCAGATAGCTTATAAAATACTTAAAACAGGGCTGGGGATGTGACCTACTGGTAGAGTACTTGCCTAGAATGCACAAGGCCTTGGGTTCAAAACAAAAAGGGAGATAGCAGCTGTATTAACCATGAATACTAACATATATGCATAGTGGTCAAGTATTTAATTTCTGAGTTTCTCAAGAATACGAAAAACAAAAAAATCTGAGTGAAATATATCCATTCCTTAAGAAACACTGTTCCTAGGGCTAGTGGAGTGGTTCAAGTGCTAGAGCACCTGCCTAGCAAGCATGAGGCCATGAGTTCAAAGCCAGTCCCTCCAAAAAAAAGTTAAAGAAACCACTATTCCTGGTTTTAATTCCAAGAGAAAATAAAACAGGCAGCCTTGACAATGAGCAAGGAAACCACCAACCATGTCATCAAAAAGATGTTACAGCAGAACTGTAGCCACATAACTGTTGCTAGTCTGACCACTGACAGAAACCAAGAGCAGATGACTAAAGTAAAAGCCACCCCAGATGCACTGGGGACTGGTATGTACGTGGCTCCAGATCTAACCCCATACATAGAAAGATCACTAACTTAGTGCTTAAGTATGTACTAACATGTGGACCAGCTCTATAAAATCAGTTGAGGCTCCTGTTCAAATGCTGACTTCCAGGTTTCAATGTCTGAAAAAATATTTTAACAACCTGAAAGTACTATTTATTTCTCCCATAAGAAGATAAAAAGACTTATTCAAAATAAAAACTACTGGTCAGGAGTGGAGTGGAGATTGAGAAGTCAGCCCAGGCAAAAAGTGAGACCTGATCTCAGTCAGCAAACTGGATGAGATGGTATGCACTGTCATCCTAACTACGCAGGAGGCCATAAGTAGAATTCCATTCTGAGGCACTGGCCCTAGGCAAAAAAAAACAAGACCCTATCTGAAAAATAACCTAAAGCAAAAAAGGCTGGTGATGTCTCAAGTGGCAGAACGCTTGCTTAGCATGTCAAGGCCCTGAGTTCAAATCCCAGTACCACATAATTTAGAAACAATTTCAATAAGAAATATATAGGATTACCATGAAGAAATTTTCTACACTTCAGATCATAAAGAATAATTTTTAATAAACGGAGACATACCAAGTCCATGGACTGGAAGAATAAACATTTTAAGAAGGATGTTGGAATCCCTCTTTTCAATGAGAATGGGATCGGTGCGTCACCATTAAACGTGACACTTACTATTGCTTTCTGATATTTATTAGTTAAGAATTCCTAAAAATTTGAAATCAATAAAAGTGAATTTTCATCTTCCAAGTCATGTGTTGAGATGGACACAAAGGTGTTCATCTCTTATCTTCTGATATGATTGGGTAACTCCTTAATGTCTTGACTGTGGCACACTCTTTTAAGATGCCATTGCAGATGGACATTCGTTAAAATGTTCTATGCTGTTTTGCTTTTCGTGTGTGTGCTCTGTCGGACTTTGGCTTCATAGTTAATTCTTTAACATAAACTAGGACACATTCCATAAGCTCTAGAACAGTTTTAAGTGACCCTGGAGTTATCTATTTCAGGTCATTTTCTAAATTAATACTTTTAAATATTTGCCAGCTACACATCATACAAAGGACTCATAACCAGAATATATAGGGAACTCAAAAAACTAAATTCTCCCAAAATTAATGAACCAATAAAGAAATGAGCAAGTGAACTAAAAAGAACTTTCTCAAAAGAAGAAATTCAAATGGCCAAAAAACACATGAAAAAATGCTCACCATCCCTAGCAATAAAGGAAATGCAAATTAAAACCACACTAAGATTCCACCTCACCCCTGTTAGAATAGCCATCACTAGCAACACCACTAACAACAGGTGTTGTCGAGGATGTGGGGGAAAAAGGAACCCTCTTACACTGTTGGTGGGAATGTAAACTAGTACAACTACTCTGGAAAAAAATTTGAAGGCTTCTTAAAAATCTAAATATTGATCTACCATTTGAGCCAGCAATACCATTCCTGGGGACATACCCAAAAGACTGTGACACAGGTTACTCCAGAGGCACCTGCACACCCATGTTTATTGCAGCACTATTCACAATAGCCAAGTTATGGAAACAGCCAAGATGCCCCACCACTGATGAATGGATTAAGAAAATGTGGTATCTATACACAATGGAATTTTACTCAGCCATGAAGAAGAACGAAATGTTATCATTCGCTGGTAAATGGATGGAATTGGAGAACATCATTCCGAGTGAGGTTAGCCTGGCCCAAAAGACCAAAAATCGAATGTTCTCCCTCATATGCGGACATTAGATCAAGGGCAAACACAACAAGGGGACTGGACTTTGAGCACATGATAAAAGCAAGAGCACACAGGGGAGGAGTGAGGATAGGTAAGACACCCAAAAAACTAGATAGCATTTGTTTCCCTCAATGCAGAGAAACTAAAGCAGATACTTTAAAGCAACTGAGGCCAGTAGGAGAAGGGGACCAGGAACTAGAGAAAAAGTTAGATCAAAAAGAATTAACCTAGAAGGTAACACACACACGCACACAGGAAATTAATGTGAGTCAACTCCCTGTATAGCTGTCCTTATCTCAACCAGCAAAAACCCTTGTTCCTTCCTATTATTGCTTATACTCTCTCTACAACAAAATTAGAGATAAGGGCAAAATAGTTTCTGCCTGGTAGCGAGGGGTTGGGGGGGTAAGGAGGGAGTGGGGGAGAGAAGGGGTGAGGGGAAGGGGGGACAAATGACCCAAACATTGTATGCACATATGAATATAATAAAATAAAATAAAATTAACACTTTTAAAACATGCAGACATTAGTATTAAGATATTCTCTCCATTCTTAAACAATTATCTACATTTTATAAATAGGAGTAACAACATACAAAATTACACATTCCATACTTCAGTGGTCAAAACTAACAATTTTCTTCTTTTGCAGTGCAGGTGGTAGAATCCAGGTCTTGCACACACTAGGCAAGTGCTCTACCACTGAGCATACTTGCAGCCCTAAACCATCTAATTATATGTCTAATTGTACTTTAAAATGTGCTAATTCCTTCAAAAAGCAAGTTTGAATTTATAATGGTTACTAGGGATATTATTTTCAAAAAATTATACCGCTCTAACCATATGTAAATGAGACTACTCGGCCTGTCCCTGTAGTGTCAATAGCATTTGATGAAAAGCGGGGCTACGTTAACCACAAAGCACAAGTTTTAATATTCCCCTTTGTAGTTACGTCTCTTTTCCCAACTAGATATTAGTTATCAAAATCACAAACCTGAGGCTCTTCTACTGTTACATTTGAGCACTGCTTATTGATGAATACTTACCATTAGTTTTATTCCTGGTATATATTACTCCTAGATCGGCTGGAATGGAGTCAAAGCCACTGCTTCCAATGATATAAACCCCTTTTTCTGCAGCTTTCTCATGGTACTTCCAATACATTAGTTCCAGAAACTAAAAAATTCAGGACAAGAATTCGAATCAGTTTGTAGAAATACCTAGACCAATATTAAATGAATTCTCTTCAAAGACAAAGCAATCAAACTGAAAATGGACTGGGGTGTGGCTCAAGGTGTAGAGTGCTTACCTAGCAAGCAAGGCCAGGTTCAATCCCCAGTACTGCCAACTGAAAATGCTAACCGATATGGCTTTGCAGCAAAATATTAACTATTAAAATGTTTTTTCACTTATTTAGCAAATACTAACCAGGTGCCATGGCAATGTGATCATCCAACTTAATGACACTATTAATTTTTTAGGATGACTTTTAAATATAAAAGTAATGCCTATTTTGTAAAAAGACAAAAAAAGTGAGCCCAGGCTGCATTACCCAGATGAACATCATTAGAGCCAGGTGTGACTATGCAGTGCAGTGAAAAGGGGATTACAGACAGGGAATAATGTCTGCTCGAATCCTTTGCCTGGATGGGTGGTGCTCACGCCTGTAATCCTAGCTACTCCAAGGCAGAGATCAGGTGGATTGCAGTTTTGAGGCCAGCCCAGGCAAACACTTAGGGAGACCCTATCTCAAAAATTTCCAACAAAAAACAGGGCTGGTGGAGTGGCTCAAGTGGTAGAGCTCCTGCCTAACAAGTGTGAGGTCCTGAATTCAAACCCCAGTGCCAAAAAGAAAAAAAAATTCTTCACTTGATTCCAAAAATTACTTTGTGTTGTAATTTTTTGTAGCACACAGGGCCTTGGGTGTGCTAGTGCACTCTACCACTAAGCAGCATCCCAGTTAAAAATTACTTTTAGAACAGTTTAAGACTGATAGAAAAACTGAACAGAACAGTTATCATGTTCCTGAAAGCCAGTTTCTCCTATTAGTAACTTTTTTGGATTTTTAGTGATCGTGGGGTTTGAACTCAGGGTTTTGTGCTTGCTAGGCAGGCACTCTACCACCTGAGCCATGCCTTCAACCCTTTTTGTTCTTGCTATTTTAGAGATGGGGTCTCGCTTTTTGCCCAGGCTGGCCTCAAACCACTATCCTGATCTCAGACTCCCCATGCAGCTAGGATTACAGACATAAGCCAAACCACCCAGTTTATTAGTGACGTTTTATATCAGCATTTATTACAATTCATGAACCGATACTGATACGTTAGTAAAACCATGTGCAATTCAGATTTTCTTAGTTTCAGCTAGTGTGCTTTTCCCATTCCATGACCTGGATACTCCATTAGCTGTCGGGTCTCCCTGAGCTCCTGACTGTGGCAGTTCCTTGCTTTCCTTGTTTTTGATAACCTTCATCATTCTGAGGAGAATACTTAGCTACTGGAACTGACCTCATGCTTTCCTCAAGACTGAACTGGGGTGATGGGTGTGGGGAGGCGACTATGGGGTAGGGTGCCATTCTCAGCAACCCTTTCAACATGAGTTGGTGATGCTGATCTTGGACACCTGACTGAGGCAGCCTTTGCCAGGTCTCCACCGTAAGGTTACCTAGTCTTCCTGAAGGCAGAAGAGCTACATAAATGACTGCAATTCTTCTATTTCTTCTCATCAATCTGCCTTTGTTAGGATTGGGCTGTGTCTCCATAATTGAGTTTAAAAAGTTCTGTCTATGCTGGACCTTTATTGTCTTTGTTTTTGTTTTGTTTTGGCAGGGGGGGAGGTTACATAGGAGGTTTTGATTTTGTTTGATTTTTCTTCTTGTGGGGCTGCAAATGGAACCTGGGGCCTCATGCCTGCATTGAGCCCCAGTCCAGCCCCATTAGGCTTTGGTATTACTTTTACGGTAGCTCATGAGATAGAGTAGAGCTTTCCACCATTTTCTATGCTCTGGGTTATTTTTAAGTAGCATAGGAACTGGTTTTTCTTGAAGTCATGTTTCTTTCCTCTTCTTGAACCAATTTTGGTAATTTACTCTGCTGGTATTTTCCCTTATATACTAACAACTGAGAGCCTCTACTGGTGGACTACACTGGTACACTGATTATGATAATCAGTAGCCCGAAGACACATGAAGCCCCATTTCAAAAGTGGCTGTGCAGCTGAGTGCCACTACTTCCTTGCAGCCAGGCCAACCTCAAGTCCTAGTTCTACCGACTGGTGTGGACCCTGAGCAAGTCATGAGCCTTTCAAAGCTTTCATCTCCTCATTTAGAAGACAGGGAGGTTTTCAGTTACCTAAAATGCCCAGTACAGTGTTGGGCATGTGGCAAGCATTAAATAAGTGTGAACATTTAAATTTAATTTCAATCTTTTGGTGCCAGAGATTGAACCCAGGGCCTCATACTTGCTCAGCATGTGCTCTACCACTGAGCTACATCCCCAGCTCATTTAAAATGTTTAGGTTTAGGGAATTTTACATTTATTTCTCTGTGTCCTGATTTTAAAAAGGGAATTCATAATGAAAAAGTTGCAGAGTGTGAGATTCTGAGAATTACCCACAGTACACTATTGTAATTAGTTCAGCTTATAGCACTCAGTAACTAAAAATCAACACAACACATTCCCTACACAAAGGGAGTAACTGAAGTCCTGGGAAAGAAAGAATGCAAGAAAGCCAAAGCTGAGGCCTTGCCACCATAAACGTCTTCAGGCTATCCATGACGCCATGGGAACCCATTTCAAGTGCTGGACTGGTGCCTTCACCTGCAAAACTGCACTGAACAGCTACTCCTCGTTTTCAGAACTTCTGTGCTTTTTGCTTCACATACCTCAGGTTCCCCAGAGATGTCAATGCAACTGGTTCCATTTTCAATACAGGCTTTCACTACAGGTTCGCCATAAAACCGATACTGGGAGAACAGAGAAGCAAAGGTCACTCGTACTTGACACGCTTAATTGAATCCCATACCATCCAACCTTGGAGGTGTACGCTTGGTTAACAGGAAAGCAAACGTTAATAAAGCAGCCTAAAGGTAAACTGAGAAGAGGACACCGCACTACACCTGTCAGCGTAAATAAATAATCATGCCACCTGGAACCCAAGACAGTGGGGAATCTTAACAAAGAAGGATTTTCCAGGAAAAGGAAACATCCAAATAAAGGCAAACTATGCACAAAGGCTTGGGAAAGGGGAGCTACTTGTGCTACCTGAAGCACAGGTGGTTGTGCAGGAAGCAGGAAGAGACGAGCCCAAAACTACTGGGCCAGGTCAGGGACCATGAATGCATGCTCACAGTCTGTACTTTATCTTCACTACCCTACTGTCTCTCCCGGAGGATGCGCAATTTGGCAGTCTTGTAAGATTTACATCTCACACATCTCACCCTGCCTGCAGTGCTGGAAAACAACACTGGAGGCAGGCAAAGACAGGTGAGGACTAGACAAAGGAAGTGGCACGGTACACTAAGGATGAAATACACTTAAAAACCAAAACTGACCAGGTATAGTGTCTATACTTCCAGTGACTCTGGAGGTGAAGACAGGGAGGATCATACTTTGAGGCCAGATGGCAAAAAAGTTGAGACCCCCATCTCAACCAACAAAATGTTGTGGTACACATCTGTAAGCCCAGCTATGAGAAGCATAGGTAAGAGGAAAATGGTCTGAAGTTGGTCCAAAGCAAAAACACAAGACCTATCCTGGAGAGAAAAAAAAAGGCTGGCATTGTGGCTTAAGTAGTAGAGCACCTGGCTAGCAAGTGTGAGGCCATGAGTTGAAACCCCAGTACTGTCACACACACACACACAAAAAAAAACAGACAGAAATGATAATTCTTCCTGATTAGCTGGGCTGGACATACAGGCTATTAGCAAAAACTAGAAAAAATAGGAAGGCAGGGTTTGAAGAGTAAGTCTAGTTCTGGACAGAGTAGACATTCTGAGCTTGTATAATTTTTGGCTCTCCCAAATTATCTGTTGCTCAAACTTAAGGAATTACAATTAAAACGTTACTCTAGGAAAGTTATGCAGCAGTCCATTCAAAAGCAGCCCGTTGTCAAGGCCAGGTAAGGAGCAGCAAAGACAGAGGCAGGAGCTTATCTTTTGTATCCAGTCAGTGAGAAAGACAGGACACCTCAAAGACGGCCCCCATGGCGACTTCAAGTGCAGTCCTCCCCCAGCTCCTGCCCCTCTTACTAAGAATGCAGTAGGAACATTAAACTTGTACTACATATGTAAGATCTTATCTATGTTGGTTGGATTACAGAAAATAATAATTCTCTAAATAGTCAAAAAAAAGAGAACAGCAGATCACAATGTTATCACTGGACCGGGAGAAGTGGACAGCATTCTAGGTTCTGGTTTCCCATTCTCGTCCACTCACTGTCCATACAGTGTGTCCTGTCTTCCTGCAACATATCCATAGAAACCTCTGTTTCAACCAGTCTAAACCTGAATCTATTATCTTTCTCTCAAAACCATTTCTCCTCCTTCACTTCCCAGCATAGGCTTCAGAGAGGGATAGAGAGAAGTGTAGCTCCAGCTCACACTGCCTGGTCCCTCTCCTAACATCTTTTCTCATGCACTGCACAAAGAAGACTGAGACAAAACTGTGCCAACAGCTGAACAGTGTGGTGGTCAGAGCAAACTTCATCCATGCTCTGTGATCACTAGCTGGGTGAACTTGGGCTGCTTTGCCTCTCTCTATAAGCTTCAATCTCTTCATCAAAAACTGGAGACAGTCATAGCACCTCCTTCATTAGGCTGTTCTGCTGATGAGGTGAGAACACAAATGCTGGGCACACAGCACTCAGATTCATTCTGTTATTGCTAAGGGTTTCACCTGCCACACAGTTCTCAGGTTGGAATGCTACAAGCCATCCTTCAGTCTACCACCACTGGAAGTCAGCACATTTTACCTAATCGGTCTCCTAAAAATTCCCTAAAAACACCAAGTTAGTCACCTCTTTCTCTACATCCAACTCTCAGTCCAGACCCTGTCTCCTCTCATCTAATTTTATCTAAATAGCCCCTGACTGGCTTCACTGAAGCCTAACCAGCCCTATTTCCAAGGAAATATCAAACTCTTATTTTAAAATAAAATCTCATGTGGCCTTTCCTTCTGCCCCCCACTCAAAATCTATCATTAGCTGGCACTACCTACACTGTATGGTAAAAAGCCCAAACTTGGCATGTCGTCAAGTTCCAACTTTCACGTCCCAGCAGGTCTAGGTTCCTGTAATTGTCTGACAGGATGTTTCACATCCAGCTTGTTTGCTTCCACTTCCTACATCCTCCTCCCTCTGCCCCAGTTCTCCTGGGCTCGGCCCTAAGCGCCAAAGGCTCCCTTCACTTGCCTCAGCAGTGAGCCGCAGCCTGCCTCAGCCAGCCAGTTTATCTCCAGGTGCGAGCAGGCTGCAGGAAGACATGAAAGCCTTCCAAAGTACCAGTCATTCCCTGTGGAAGAGCAGGCATTTTCTTTCTTACCACATCTACCCATTCTTTACACTGTATTTTGTCACACCTTGCCGCTTCTCCATGTGTAAACTGAGGCTGACACGCATTTATCCCTAATTACCCCTAACTTATCCCTATTTTGTCATTACATTTTTCTTCACTTAGTATCCTGTGCTTGTACAAGCTGAGTGAAGAAAGTCAGGATACAATCTCTGAACTCAAAAGCAGAGTTCTCCCATGGGAAGCCACTTAGCTTAGAGGTCAGAATTGCAATTCCATTTTCAAGGCTCCATGTTCTAACCCGTGGGCCCCCAGGTAGGCGTGCCTCCCCAAGAGGATTAAAGCAATCTACCAAGTGTGGCAGCAAATATGTGAACTTTTATTCACACAAATCTTTCCAGGAAGCACAAAAAAAAAAAAAAGACTCACTTTATTCACAGTTAACAAATGGATTCATTCCAGCACATTCCCTGGGCATGTCAAGCAGTCACGTGTTGATTATAGGATACAGCAGGCAACCTGAAGTGGGCATGGGAGAGTTCTACAACATGGGGAGGGTCAAGTGATGGCCTCACTCTGTCATCACTGCCAGCATATTGCTAACTAGTGATGTTTATATTTGCTTAATAGACAAGAGTTTCTAAAGCTTGACTTCTGAGGCCATAGGCATTCAGAGGGAGAAGGATAAAAAGATCCAACAGAGGAAACACAGGAAGCTGATGAATAGGAGGAGAGAATCCAGGAACCGAGAAAGGAGGAAGCAAGTAATGGATGAAAATGCTGAGAGGCTGCAAATGAGGACTGAGTATTCATTGGAGGAGGAGAAAGGCCTGGCAAGAGCAGTTCAAGACAGAGTAGGAGGTGAGAAAGTGGAGGCAATGAATGACAAGAACTCTTCCAAAGAATTCTACTTTAAAAAAAAAAAGGCACACAAAAGTGGAATCATTGGGCGGAGTGTATGGAATCAAAGGAAATCCTTTTTTTTTTTTTTTGGTGGGACTGGGGTTTGAACCCAAGGCTTCACACTTGCAAAGCAGGCACTCTACCACTTGAGCCACACCTCCAGTCCATTTTACTGTGGTTATTTCAGAGATGGGGTCTCCTGAACTACTTGCCCAGGCTGGCCTTGAATCGCAATCTTCCTGATCGCTGCCTCTTGAGTAGCTAAGATTATAGCATGAACCACCAGTGCCCAGCCCTTTTATATGTTTTAAACATGTATTTGTATGATAATATAAGAACATAATGATAAATAAATTGGGGTATACACTCAAACTTTTTTTTATAGTTAAAAAAAAAAAAAAGTAGCCTTCATAGCGATAATGATGAACCAGCTCAGCACACATTCCCTGAATATGTCACAGAGAGCTGTCATTCTCTCAGAAGATTTTGGTCCTCATAAGAAGGAAAAAACTCCCCATATGGGGTTAAGGCTTTTAACCAGTTCTTCTGCCCTCACCCTGATGTTCCTCTGGAATATAAAATACCAGCTTTTATGAGAAATGAATGGATTGTTTATTCTGATACAAAGAAGAGCTTATTACTTACAGGTCCTACGCAATTGAGGACAAGTGTTGTCTGTTTAGCCATTTCATCAAGTGAGGCTGGATTAGTGATGTCACAAATTATTATTCCAACTTCAGATGATAGTGTTGGTCTTCCTAAAATAAAAAACAAATCATTTAAAGAAAACCCTATTATAATTTTACACCTTCCAGTTCTTTTTATAGCAATTGGTGCAGAAAATTTACTAAATATACTAATATACTGAAAGTTACCCCTGCCAAACTAAAGATACAACTGTTTTTAATCAGGTAATTAAATAGGAAAAGGCTATGAGGAAAATGTAGTTAATGCTAAGGGCTACTAAAAAAATTTCTAACACAAGCAATGTACACATGACAATTCTGTGTGACAGGACAATCTTACAATCTAATATAGATGATTTGTCCTAGAGCAGATGATTTGTCCTGACTTCTCCACCAAGAAATTTATATAGTAGAAAAAATAGCTTCTTATTGGGCACCTATAACCCTAGCTTCTGGGGAGGCTGAGATCAGAAGGATCACAGGTAAAGGCCAGCCTGGGCTAAAAGTTTGTAAGACTGCACCTCCAAAATGGGCTGGAGGTTGTGGCTCAAGCAGTAGAGCACCTGCTATGCAAGTGTGAAACCTCAAGTTCAAACCCTAGTTCTGCAAAAAAAAAAAAAAAAAAATGTGTATATATGTATACACACAGACACACATTTTCTCATCAGTCACTAAACAATTACATATATCCAACTATAGGGAGTGGAAGGAGACCATCAACATCAACATCATGAGAGCAAAAGAGGACCACTGGGTGAGTCACCCAGGTTCACACAAGGGGAAAACTGGAGTTAAGTGACCTATAGAACACAAAGGTTCCTAAAGGTGAAGGGGTATGTCCCACCATACTTGATCTGGGTGATAAAACTGGTAGGGAACTAGGCTGTACTGTATGGTCTTGTTGAGCAGGAAAAAGAATGTATTTTAATAACATTATGTCTTTTGGAAAAGTAAAAGCCCAAAGCTCAAAGTCCTGTGTGTTGGCAGAGGCAGCAATGAGGGCTGGGAGAGTCTAGCCTGCCTTCTGTCTTCCACACATGACCAGGAACAAGAGTCCTCATTCCCAGTCTCAGCAGGGCTCTGTGCAGAAGTGTAGGACCGAACAGAAAGAACACAGAATGCCCCCAACTCTAACAGGGGCGTCGCATGTGGGAGGGGAGTCTAGGGTAGAGGTCTGACTGCCAAAGTTCAAGGCTGCTGAGTCCTAAGTTAGGTGCCTCCCCTCTCCCCACCTGTGTGGACGCACTTAGGTGGGGACCACTTAAGAAATACACGCTGAATGGATGCTGAAAGACTAAGTCAATGTCCATCCAGAAACGCAAAAACGTTTTTGATGAAGATTTCTGGAACATTCTTACAGGAGGGAAAAAAAACAACTTAAAAGCAAATGCACAAAAAATTAAAATCAGGGGCTGGAGGTGTGGCTCGGTAGTGTGTGTGGGTAGCTCAGAGGCCCTGGGTTCAGCCCCCCAGCACAAAAATAAAAAAGTAGCACTGGTAATCCTACCAGTAAAGCTCAAGCTTTCCCAGCCCCAAAAAAGATCCATCACCAAGACACCGACCCCCTACTCATTCCTTTTCTGACCAAGTTACAAGTCCCCATCACGCGTGGGTCCCCAGCCGAAGAATGGGATGAAGGGGACGGAACCACTGAAGTTCCTGACTGTCACAGTGGGACTCCGCAACTACGGGGGAAACTGAAAAAGGTGGAGAAAGGCATGTTGAAAACTTTTCTTTCTTGACTTTAGGATGGAACAAAAGCTGGGCAGTAGATGAGCACGCCTCTCTTCCAGTCCCGGGGCAGAGCTGGGGAAATGGGGGACGCAGGGCTAGGAGCACAATGGGGAGCACAAGGCTCGGGGACAGAGCGGGGGGGCACGGGGCTAGGGGACGCAGTGGGGCCGCAGGGCTGGGGTCCCAGGGCCGGGGACACAGGTGGATCGCAAGGCCGGGGTCCGGCGGCTCCTCCGGCGGTTTGCGCCCGGCCCGCCCCGCCGCCGCGTTACCGAGCTTGAGCGCCGCCCTCTCCAGCACTCGCTGCAGCTTCTCCCGGGAGCGGCCCGCCACGGCCCAGGGCAGGCGGGAGCTCCGCTCGGGGGTCGCCTGCTCCCGGGCCACCTCCTCGGCCACGAACTGGCCGGTGAAGCCCGAGGCGCCGAACACCACCAGCTGGAAAGGCCTCTGCTCCGTCGCCATGACGAACAGACAGTGAGCCGAGGCCCGGAGCGGGCTGAGACCACCGCGCATGCGCCTCCGGCACAGACGCGAGTACCCGGCGCAGCAACCGCCGCAGTGCTGACCGCCGCCGCCGCCGCCGCGCCACGCTCCCTTCACGCCGCGCGCGCCGCCGCCCAGGAGCCACGCCCATGCCCTTGCCCACGTGTACGGCCACGCCCCTCGCCGCGCGCCGCCGCGCCGATGCGACGCGCATATGCACGGCCGCTCCAAGCCGCCGCGCGCAGGAGCCACGCCCATATGCGCGGCCACGCCCTCCGCCGCGCGCCGCCGCGCAGGAGCCACGCCCATGTGTGCGGCCACGCCCCCCGCCGCGCGCCGCCGCGCGGGAGCCACGCCCATGTGTGCGGCCACGCCCCCACCCACCCCCTCGGCCACGCCCCCACCCACCCCCTCGGCCGCGCGCTGGGGAGGTTCGGATCTCGGGGGCTTAGGGAGATGCCCCGCCGCCCATGATTCCTGTTCGCTGTGCCCGGGGGTTGCGCAAAGCGTTGGAGAAATCCCGAAAAGCGAGGGGCCTACGCCTGACTCCAGCTCTCGAAGCCTGCCTGAACTATCTTGCAACTCCATGTTAAACGACATGTGTAGGTGGGTATTGCGTTGGCCTGGTTCCGACGCGGATTAGCAAGCCAAACTCCAGATGAAATCGGCAGGAGTCCTTCCTGCTTGATGAAACGCGCTCGGACTCCACGCAAAGCCGAGTCCTGGCTGGGTGACAGCCGCTGGACTGTGATCGGACCTAGAGCCAGTTCGTTAAATCAGCTGTGATCAGTGCAGTTGTGGGCTTTGCTTCATTCACGGCCTGGAGGTGAGCTGATTGCTCTGCCAGGAGCTCCTATCACTGCCATCCAGAATGACCAAGAGACGCCCAGTGTTGCACGATGTTGGAACTGTGAAGACTGTTGGAGATTCCGGGAGAAGGATAGAATGCATTTTGCATTATGAATGAGATGCACATAGCCTCTTGGAGGCCAGAGTCGAAATGTTATGGTTTAAGGAGATGTGTTTGGGTATCAAATTGACAAGGGGTGGATTGTGAGGGTTAATCTTGATCGGCAAATTGATTGGATTGAGAAACACTTAAGCGATTAGTAAAGTACACCTCTAGGGGTCTTTTGGAGGGTGTTTCCAGAGAGGATTAACTAAGGGGAACACCCTCCCTGAATGTGGGTGGTACCATCCTACAGGCTGGGGGCCTGGGGTACATATGAGGGGAAGAAGCAGGAAGCGCAATAGTGCAGGCGTGCTCTCTTTCTGCTTCCTGGCCACCATGCCTGACCCTCTGTGGTGGACTGAAACCTCTGAAACTGTGAGCCAAAATAAATCCCTCTCTTGAAAAAAGGGTTTGTGTGTGGGCACACAGCTGTAATCCCAGCACTTAAACTTCAATCCTCCCAACCACCACCTCCCAAGAAGCTAGGATTACGGGTATGTATCACCACACTGCTCATGAATTTTTTTCTTTTTTTGGAACTTAAACAGGACTGATGGGCTTTGCTTGGCTAACATCAGTGCACAGGTTTGGTGTTGAGTAAGCAAGGAAGTACATCCAAGCAGTGTTCAGTGTCAACCCCACAACGTGAGGCAAGAGCTCCAGATTCCCATAAGAAAGAGACTCTTGTCGCCCCTTGCTGAACAGTTCAGTCTTTAAAACTTTGACACCTGCTGGGTGTGGTAGTGCACTTGGGAGGCAGAGGCAGGAAGATTGAGAGTCTGGGCAACCAAGTGAGACCTTGTCACTAAAAACAAATGTAGCTCAATGGTAGAGTGGTTGCTTAGCATGTGCAAGTCCTGGGTTTGAATCCCAGCGCTGCAAAAAAATAAGGTGGTCTGTTGAAGTGGCATGGAAAATTGACCCAGATACATTGTAAGTGAAAAGAATGAGCTTCCTTATAGTACAGTAGTATAAATCTTTTATCTAAGGTAAACAGGACATGTATGTATACATACAAAACATTGGGAACACATAATAAATCTTAATAATAGCTGTGAAGTACTGGGAAACCTGCCTTATACATGGTGACCCCTCAATAAACGCTAGCCAGCAGGAATAGTCATTATTCCTGGAAAGTGGCTTTGTATAAATTATGCCAGAGGAAGAAGAAGGCTTATATTTTTCACCTTTCTTTATTTTTTAATTGCTGTTGTACTGGGGGTAGAAATAAGGTGGGTTTTCCCCCCTTCGGTTGTATTGGTGTTTGAACTCAGGGCCTCACACTTGCTAGGCAGGCGCTCTATACTAATAATTTTTTTTAAAGGAGCAGGGACTGGATTTGCAGAAGGGGGCCAAAGAACATGTTTGGGAATCACCCCTCATCTCCGAGCCCTGCCACTGAGGCCATGTCCCTGTTGCCACCAGGGAACTTTTCCCGTTTTTGTTCATCGTAATGCACAACAACATAAACAAATCTCAGAAACTCTAATCTAGCCTGCCTAGGAAGCGAAAGGCCCAGAGTTCAAACCCCTGTGCCACCAAAAACAAAAACAAAAAAATTGAAGAGCTAGATGTGGAAAGCTTGGCAGAGCACTTGCCCAGTTAAAAACTGGTTTCACAGAGAAAGGAATTTCTTTTTCCTGGCTTCATCAATGACTCACATTAACACAGGCAAGCCACTTCACTTCTGGAGTCTTGGCTTCCTGAGGACAAAAAGATAATGGGCCTGATGATAAAGCCCTGTCCTATGAAATTCTTATGAAGCAGCAGAAATACTCACTTATGAAATTTATGTATATCATCATCTCTGTGATGTTATTTAGTTAGGCAATACCATTCTCAAGTAATAGACAAAAAATCATGAATCATCTGTCCCAATCACCTATCTCTAAATGTAGACAACATCCTATGAAGCAAGACATAATCTTAATCTTCCAGTGGGCACGAAAACCTTAAATATCTTTTTAAAAAGGTTTTATTCCTACTGACAATGCCAGCCGTCACAACCCAACAGCACTGTGCTGTCCGGTTGCAGCAGAAATCTCAAAGACTTTCCATCTTCACCAAACCATGTCATCTTCCTGCCAAGGCCCGTGGGAGACCAGCATAGGTCCACAATGTCTACTGTGTTATTTTTTTTGTAGCATTCATTCTTAATTTTCAGTGGATGTGATACTTTTTTTTTTTTTTTTTTTTGCAGTACTGGGATTTTAACTCAGGGCCTCATGCTTGCTAGGCAGGCACTCTACCACTTGGGCCACACCGAATCCCTTTTTGCATTTTTTTCAGATAGGGTCTAACTTTAAGCCCAGGCATGTCCTGGACTGTGATTATTCTATGTACGCTTCCCGAGTAGCTGGGATGACAGGCTTTTTATTGACTGAGATGGGGTCTCAGGAATGTGTTGCCCAGGCTGGCCTTACTAGATCCTTCTGATCCCTTCTCCTGAGTAGCTAGGAGATTACAGCTGTGAGCCGCCAGGCCTGGCGGGAATATGGTACTTTAAAAAAAACATACCCCTCAAAATTAATATATGAAACTGAGTGTGTACTGTGAATTAGGAACCATTTGAGACCATTAAAAAATTTTTTGTCAGTGCTAGGGTTTGAACTCAAGCCACTCCACCAGCCCTTTTTTGTGTTGGGGATTTTCAAGATAGGGTCTCGAGAACTATTTGCCTGGGCTGACTTCAATCCTCAATCTTCCTGGTATCTGCCTCTTGAGTAGCTAGGATTACAGGCGTGACCACCAGTGCCCGGAGTCTATTTTAGACAGTGTTATTTTGGGCAGGAGGTAGAGCCTTAATTTGGTTAAGCTATGATGAAAGCAAGCTCACCAATCAACCTTTGAGCTGGAGCTACAAAGACTAAATTTTGAAACACTTGCCTCTTAGGAACCTCTAAACCCCGTCATACTAACAGTTTCCCAGTGGGGTGAGCAGTTATGAAGCCAGTTTTGAGTTTTTGGGTCCTTATCCAGGGTCAGTTGGAGAATGACAAGCCTGGACAATGGGTAAGTGGCACACAAGGAAGAAGTGCATTAAAGTAAAGAAAGACAGAGCACCCATATAGTGGGAGCTAGAAAGACAGAGCCATGGCAATTGGGACATGTAGGAATTTTTAATCTAGTTTTTGGCACGCTTTTGCAAGGTCCTGGAGACAGCTTTCTGAGAGGTGGGCCCTGGAAACAGATTTCTGGAAGGTGGGCCCTTGGGTGGACCCAGGAGATGACTTTCTGACAGGTGGGCTTTGGGTGGGCCCTTATTCCCTCCCTACTCTGAGCCAAACTTCTCATTGTCAGGGCTGTTTTGTGCTATCCCTGTTCATGTCCCGTGGGCCCTTATTCCCTCCCTACTCTGAGCCAAACTTCTCATTGTCAGGGCTGTTTTGTGCTATCCCTGTTCATGTCCCTAACATCTGTCCCCTGCTGACCTACTGCTCCTTCATGGCCCCAGTCCTAACTCCTAAGATCGAGCTAGCTCCTAATGTAACTCAAAACCAGTCCCCTGGCCTCAATGCCAATTGACAATGTACAAATAGTGAGGGTAGGAAATAAGAATTCCTATTGTCAGATGAAGAGGAGGACAGACAGGTCAACCTCTCAAACTCTGTCGCCCCACTTCTGAGAAAGAAAATGTCTGCTTTATAAAGGGGAGTTCAGGGCTTCATTACTGGACTATTGGAAGAAAAATAATCTTTTCTATCAAAGTATCTGTTACCCTCTTAGATTACTTAAAAATTCCTCAGGTCGCCATCTTAGGTGACTTGCATGTTTAAAGGGTCCTTGCTGCTTCTTCTGGATTCCTGTATGACTCCATTGTCCAGCAAACTGTATGCCCTAAGCCATCCAAGCCTTTCGCCAATTGGGAGAGAGTGTGAACCTTTGCCCTGGACAAATCCCAGGTGAGGGGCAGGTACAACTGCGTCAGGGATAGAAGGAGGAGCCACGGTCAGCCATGTCCTGTTGCCTGGTTGTGGTGGCCCCGAGGTTCAGCCGAAGGCGACAACTTTCCGGATCTGCGAATGAACTTGGTCTCCAGAATTTCTTTTTTTTATTTTTTTATTTTCATATCTTGGAATCTTGTATAAAATTTTATTTACAAACAATTTTTACGGATACAGAAATTGTGTTCCATATTTC